AAGAGATCCAACACCCTCTTATGGCCTCTGTGGGCAGCTGCTCTGATATTTACATACTCCTACATAGACACACACACATCATATACTTTAAAAATAAAATAAATCTAAAACATAATTTACAAATAGATTTACACAAAAATATTCTGAAATTGATTATTCGATTTATTAGGCTTTGATACTTAAATTTGGGAAATGTTTTAAAAAATAAAAAAAAAGGGAAGACTAGAATGAGTATTCACGGTGTGGTTATTATTTATTCACCATTAAATGTTTTTGATATCTTGCCATCTTGGTCATCTGTCACTCCCTGTACATTACAAAATAATTTTCCTGGAGTATTTTTAAGCAACACCTAGATAAGATATTTATTTCTTATAGACACTTCATTCTTTTCTAACACAAAAATGATATTATCATTTCAAACATAATTAGTAATAATTTAATGATGGCTAATCTTTAGGCCATATCTAATTTCCCCTATTGTATCAAAAATGGCTACACACACAGGCAGGGGAGATGGCTTAGTACATAAGTCACTTGCCACACAAGCACAGGGCCTAAATATTTATACTCACAACCCATGTAAAGCTGAACACAATAGCACACTCTGTAATTCCAAGGCAGCCGCATTGACAGGGGAGGCAGAAATGGGAGAATCTCTGCAAGTTTTTGGGCCAAGTAGGCCGGTACACACATCTGTGTAGAACATAAACCTGGCTTGGCTTCGAGCAAGATGGAATGTAAGGATCAATCTGAGGGTGTTTTCTCTACTCTACACATGCACCGTGACATGTGCATGCCTATATTCACATACATAAGCATTCTCACAGGAACACACATGTACATATACACATACATCATACATACATCATAAACACTCATAAAAATATTTACACACTGTTTTTTTCAAATTAGTCCCCCTAAGGTCTACAAATTTTCTTTGATTAGTGTATCTTAATTACTTTGATCTAATCCCACATTGTTTTTTTTTCCTTATAGCATTTATTTGCTGAAGAAATTGAACTTCTTACTTACTTTTATACTACTTTCTGAATCTTGATGGGCTATGCTTGCCTAAGGTGATTCATCTTTAGTCCATAGTTATTCAAACTTCTGTCTCTGATGCTTTTAGCCAGAGTCATTTAATTCTATAACACATAAAATTTGCTGTGATATCTATATCTTTATATTTCATAAGTGAAATGAATGTGTATAGTTAACATACTGTTATCTGTGTTATTTCCCTTTAAAATAACTATTTTGCTAGTTGCTAATCTCACCAAGAAGCTTTTGTGAACCACTCTTCATAGGGTAGTATTATTTTGACCCATTTTACTAATAAGACCTCAACACAAAGGAGAATTTGCATAATCATTATATATGAAGACAGATGTAATCACAACTGCTTGCATATGTGTAGCTTTCTGAAATGCCAGGAAACCAAGTGGATATGATCCATTTATGCTACAATTAAAAATCACAAATGATTTTTAAGGTTAACAAAGTTGAGAGAACAGGTGGTTCCCTTTCCAAACATTTATATTTTCCTCACCCAGTAGCAGGAAGTCATTTTAGATTGCATTTCTATGTTTGAATTGTTGTGTTTCCTCTAAGTTAGAATACAAACAGGCTAAGACGTATGATAAATTTTCAATATATTGTACAAATGGTGTTCTTGCTCTTGTTTGGATAACATTGTGTGATTCATTCCAAAAGTACACTGTTGAAAATCTCAGATAAGGGAAGTGGAGTGCTGAGCGGATTTCGGAGAGCAGATATGGGAATTTAATACATTTGTTTTCCATTTCAACTAACTGAAGCACTAACAAGATTTTATGCTATGCCTGAGTATGGGGAAAGACCATTTGATTTTTGTGAGTAGTATACCAACACTGTTCATTTATTTATATAATTATGTTGGTAGTGGAGTCATTTTGATTGTTTTTCTCACATCACAATGTGATGATACATGGAATAATTCTGAAATGAGATTTGAGAGAGAGAGAGAGAGAGAGAGAGAGAGAGAGAGAGAGAGAGAGAGAGAGAGAGTCTGAGACCCTCATGGAGAGCCCAAAGCAACTTTATTAACTTTATATTTGAGTCTCCATTTCAGAGAGGCATGTTAGATAAGTAGGCAAATTTCATTTCATTTCAAAGACCCCAACTTTACATTTATAATCCTTAATTTTAGTTAAAAATACTATATCCATCTTCAGAGCTAAGAATTCTAATACAGTCATACATCTTCTATTCCAAATTAATCATTATTGGAGGTTCTGCATATTCTAACCAGTAAAATGTCAAATATTTTTCATTTCTCAAGTCTTTCTTTTGAGTATCTTTGGTACAACTTTGTCAATAAACTACAGGAACTTCCTGAGTTTATTGTGTATAAGTGGTTGGTCCTATTTGCAAATAGTGTAATAAAGATAAGTGTGAAATACCATCAGAAACATCCACCTCTACTGTGTTACAAATAGCTTACCTTCAAAATAAATGAATGCTCATTTTGATCCATCCCTATACAAGTCCCCATAATACTTTCTCAAGAGAACAATAACTTGTTTAGAGCCCCAGACCCACATAACAGTGTTTTCCAAAACCTGACATAGTGCAAAGGTGACTGAGTTACCAGAGAAGCTTCTATCTTACCCACAAGTCTTAGTCAGAACTCTTGTGCCTTGAATACCCAGCAGCTTTGAAAAGTGCTTATTTCTTGACCTCAGTAGCTGCCTCTTAGATGAACCCAAGAATGGAAGTGTTGACTAGCATTCCAGGTGTTCCTGCTACAGGCTATACTACATTACCTCCTAGAGCAGTAGCTTTATATCCAGCCAGCAAATTAATATCATCAGGGCGGCAAGAGAATTGAAAACTCAGGATGTTGTCCTTAGCCAATGAAATAGAAACATTTGAGTTGAGTAAGGAAGCTATATTTCCAAAGCTAACCACTTTGCAGCCTGACACAATCACTACTTTAGATTTCTGTGATAAACACAGGAGCATGCTAGCCTCCCCCAAAGTGGTGAGAGAGACCATTTGTCATCACCTGGTTTTCACAATGCCCACCGTTGCAAGCATTATGACTTCCCAATTCAAGAACCTCAGTTATTTTTATACAAATCAGCTCTACAAAACCAGGGTGTATGAAGGAGACTCCATTCAAAACACAGAAGTCCTGGAACTGTTCTTGCAGTGCAAAACGATCTTGCATGGATTTGTTCCACATTGTGCTCATCTTGTCTCCAGTTGTCAGCACCTTCCCTTTGCACACCCATTACACAACCTGTATTGTTCAGTTAGGTCTCAGCTCACGGGTGCAGAGGATATGACCTAATCAGGGGACACCTGTGTCCCAGCTATAACTCAGGTCAACATGTCATCCTCTTCCTTTAATTTAATGATGATGGGATTTTGAGAAAGCTAGAGAGCAGGGGCATTTTCAGCCTCCACCACATACCCAAAAATGCCATATAAATCAGTGTGCATGAGGCCATCTCGGGGAATTTAATGAAGATTTCAATTCAGGACCAAAGTTTAAAAGTTTCTTTGGCCGGGCGGTGGTGGCGCACGCCTTTAATCCCAGCACTCGGGAGGCAGAAGCAGGCGGATCTCTGTGAGTTCGAGGCCAGCCTGGGCTACCAAGTGAGTTCCAGGAAAGGCGCAAAGCTACACAGAGAAACCCTGTCTCGAAAAACCAAAAAAAAAAAAAAAAAAAGTTTCTTTGGCTTCCTTGATAAATGAATGAATGAGTTTTACAATCTATACAGTAAATAGAGAGAGAGAGAGAAGGGAGACTGTAAATATCATGTGACCTTTTCCTTTAAGATCTGTTACATAAAAAGCAATGTTATCTATCTATATTTTGTATCTAATAAAACTGTTTCTTGCTTTAAATAAATCACTGGAACAATCTCTTGGAAGGAATCATTATATGAATTAAAATTGTTTGATTGTCATTAAAGTCCATATATAATCATGAGAATTCTACTAGTGATATGCTACATTAAGCTTGTTAAAAGTTTCCTAATTTACTTTTAAATTCAGAGTTAATATTTCTGCTATGTGAAGAACTTGAGATCAGAAGGGCTTTGATACTGCCTCTTATTAGCCACTCAAAAGACACCGCTGTACACTCTCAATATGGAAGAAAATGGTGCTTTCTATGCTAAGGTGACTGTAAGGCAAGATGCACAAGCATGTTGTCCTACCACAATTTACTAACAAATGGGCATTTACTGTGACCTTTGTATGTAAAAATTTTAGATTGCTTGATGTCCTAAAACAACATTGGAGATATCTGATTTGCTTCTAGCACTGTGGCAAATATTCCATGTTCAACACAAACTAGAATCCATCCATGATTTATCTGCTAAAATTAATTTCTAAGTCTAACCCACATGTAAAATGATTTTAAATCATTCATAGAATCTATGTCACTGTATGTGTGTGTGTGTGTGTATGTGTGTGTGTGTGTGTGTGTGTGTGTTATGGTATGTTTTCCTGTGCCACAATAGCCAATGAAGGCTATGTGGTCTTTAAATATACAAGGGTTGGGGGATGCCTCAGTGAGTAAAGTGCATATTGTACAAGCGTGAGGATCTTAGTGTGATTCCCAGCACTCAATAAAAGCAGGATGCAGTAGAGCATGACTATAATACAGCACTAGGAGAAAAATGCCAGAGGATGCTCAGAGTTTATAGGCCAGCCAGTCTCAACAATGGTTGACCTCTAGGTTCTGTGAGAGACCCTGTCTCAAAACAAAGTAGAAAGAGATAGAAGAAGGCACTAAGTGTCAAATGTGCACTCACAGTACACACACACACACACACACACACACACACACACACACACACACACTTTCACGTCTGCAGTGATTCTTGCAAATACTCTAACTACATTTCTACTGTAAACTGGGAATTAGAAGAGGATTCCTCACTCTGTGAAAATGCTTTTAATTTTTAAATTATAGAGTAATTAGACACATGCTTTTCTTTTAGCCATTACTTGTCGAAAGCAAGATGGAGGGCAGGCTAGCATCCAGGAGTGCCTCCAGTATGCAGGCCCTGTGCCAGCCCTGACTCAGGCTTGCCAGATCCCCTGCCAAGATGACTGTCAATTTACCAGCTGGTCCAAGTTTTCTTCATGCAATGGAGACTGCGGTGCAGTTAGGACCAGAAAGCGTGCTATTGTTGGTAAGAATAATTGGGATGCTAAAGGCAACTCTTAGCATGACAGAAAAATACAATAAAACTCCAACTAAGAGCATTCTGGCAGTATGCTTGAAAATCCTTATTGCTGCTGTAGTTATACTGAATATTTCAGTACACTGAGGTGTGTTTTTAATGCAAAGTAACAATGATAGAAGCATATCATTTTAGAAGAAAGAAAAGGCAGCCTAATTCCCTATACAACAAACAATGAAACGTTGTTGTTTAAACATGCACCTTTAGTGCATTGTCCAGAAAGTTTGAAGTACCTGGTGCAAGGAGTAGCGACCACCCCTTTACCATCTCAGCCTGTTCTCAGGACCACAGCCTCAGCCTGTAGCATATCTCCTACAATGAGAAATGCAACATTAATTCTATGTCTGAAAGTTGCATTAAATACAGTCACAATGGCTTTAAAAAGTCAAAATAACAGTGACGTAGCTAAGTTTAGAAGGCATGGCACTACACTGAAGCTGGATGTATCTGAACATAGTCAGGGGCAAAAAAAGAAACCAAAAATGTTGACTATTAAGAGTTGTCAAATTATAAGATGAACCAAAGTAAAATGAAGACTGAAGACTCTGGGAAGCTGCATATATAAATCATATATATATAATATATATTTATATATCATATATAAACCATATACATATACGATATATATGTATCACTGTGTGAAAATTAGAAATAAAAGTTATTAAATCTGATAATATACTTAATATATTATATGTGACAGAATTATATATCATGTATATTTAATATGGTATGACTAACATAATTAAATATATAATTTTAAAATACACATATAACATATATAAGTATTTTTAAGAAAGAGAAGTTTCTTTTGATTCAAACATTTAAAACGTTTTATTCTGATACCCAATCAAATCTTCTTTTGAGCCTGTATTGGTCATCAAGTATGTCAAAATGAGTACTGTTCAGAAATTTTGAAAGATACAAAGTAATAGGCCAAGAAATAAGCCTTAAATCTCCATTTCCAGATTATAACCCCTTGTAACTCTGCCACCTATCTGCAGTCAGCAAAGAGAGTGCAGCCCGGTGAGCTCACCCTCTGCCTCTTGTATTTTTGCATGTATTTAAAAGAAGAGGTTTGTGCAATTGCCACAAACTCCTGAGTCAGTACAAACATGAGAATTTCAGTCATTTCAAAGAGTGTAAAAATCAACTACAATCCTTTATGCAAAGTGGACTATTTTTAAATGAAAAAGTAAGAAAGTTCCACTGTGCAAAGCCCAAAGCACTGAATATCAGCGAAAATTTATTTAGAAAGCACTTAGAATTGAAAAAATATCATTTATTTATAGGCTACTATTGAATCGAATCAAAAGCAGAGAACGGAAGTATAAGAATGTGAAAAAAATCTAAGGATGCTAGAAATTAATAATGCTATCTTCCATCTACAGGAAAAAGCAAAAAGAAGGAAAAATGTAAAAACTCCCATTTGTACCCTCTGATTGAGACTCAGTATTGTCCTTGTGACAAATACAATGCGCAGCCTGTGGGAAACTGGTCAGACTGTATTTTACCGGAAGGGAAGTCCGAAGTGCTGTTGGGAATGAAGGTACCAGGAGACAACAAGGAATGTGGACAAGGATACCGTTACCAAGCGATGGCGTGCTACGATCAAAATGGCAGACTCGTGGAAACATCGCGATGCAACAGCCATGGTAACCCAACATTATTGCAGGGCTCAAATTGCTCTTTGGTACTGGGGGTATCATAGAGAGGAAAGGAAACGTTTGCAGCAGTGTGCTCTGAAGGGAAGGCTGGGCACCCCATGGTCCGCCTTGCGTGTTTAACAAGACATAAAGCCGCACAGTCTACTGACTCAGAGTTGGTAGATGAGTCCCAGATTGGTTAGAAGCAGCATTATGGAGCTCATATTCATAAACGGGAAGACAAGAATAGTCATAGAAAATTCCCTTGGGATGTATGTATTCTCTGTTCGTTCAACAGACCCAGCAATCCCTAACTGGCATGTGAACAGAAAGGAGAAAAAAATCCGAACACAAAGAGATTGAAGTTTTAAACGAGTTTTTTGTTTGTTTGTTTTGATTTGTTGTTTTGTGGGGTTTTTTCTTTTGGTTTTTCGAGACAGGATTTCTCTGTGTAACTTTGCGCCTTTCCTGGATCTCGCTCTGTAGACCAGACTGGCCTCGAACTCACAAAGATCCACCTGGCTCTGCCTCCCGAGTGCTGGGATTAAAGGCGTGCGCCATCAAACGAGTTTTAACAACCAAGTTGGCAAACTATGCAATATGCCCAGAATGTCATTCAAGTAACAGAGAGTAAGGGCAAAACTCTCAGAGATCTGTTCATCATCCACTGAGTTGAGACTAGGGGGGAGGGTAGAATACTTTTAGAAAACTATGCCCACTTCTATTTTGTAATATTATCTGTAAACTGCACAGATAATAATTACGATGCCAAAAATTTGTGAACAGTAGCTACTTGGAGCCAGTGAATACAAGGAAGCCTTAAGTTTTGATATGAATGAAGCAGTAGCAACGTATCACCACTATTCTTTAATTATAATAAATCTGCTTTTTAATGGAATAAAGTCATTTTACAGTGTAATAGCCTGAGTCAGAGACAGAATGTATTTGCAAAAGTCAGGCAGTGGTGTCCTACCTTCTTACAGAAATGACTGGAAAAGATGAAATAAATTGCTAGGAGCAAATACGCAGCAGTCACCCTCCAACTTTGCTGCAATAACTTCTGTGATTGAAACAAGGCTGGTCCAGTTTTATTATAAGGTCTAGAAAACAATGCAAGCTAATAGGACCTTTTCACGTTTACGAACCTTCAAAGTTTCATGCTGACATATTTCTTGGAGTCCCTTTAAGCCTTACCCGACAAAGGAGCTTCTAAAAATCTTGCCCTTTATTTTCACTTTGTCTCATAATTCCTGTTTTTTAAACCCTAAAGAGTCCTCAAAGCTGAAGCTGTAGATATAAGTATTTTCAGGTTAGTAAGTGTGCACTACTAAATTGAAGATCTCTTTGCATTTGAGCAATAGCTGTAAGCAAATAGGGTTTTTAAACTCTGAAAATACCTATTTAAGTAACACAAATTTACTCTTTGCATCAAATAGCAAAAGTGTTATCAATTAGATTCCAAAAGTATAGGTACATTTCCTATTTTGAGATGATAATATATAAAATTTTAAATAGTGATTCAATGTGAAACTGAAAATCATTTTAATTGAATTTCTTTTGAGGTGCAAGGTGTATTTGCTCAAAATTCAATTTCTTCAGTGAACTGATTACTGAGATAATAATTTGTTTTGAACATTACCTTGAGCTTCCGGCATGGCTTTCACACAGCTCTGTTTCTATTCTGGTCTACTAATTAGATGCATGAGAACTTTAATAATCATATTTTGGGGTTGGAAGGGAAAAACTTTATTTTTATTCAAGGTGCTGGAGATCAAAAACAAGATGTTGGGCATACTAGATAGGCATTTCACCAGAGCTACATACATTTCCAGTGCTTAGAAAACAATTTTTAGCAAATTATATGACTATCACAATTTGCTAGCTAATAAATGTAACTAAACCACATAATTAAAAGATTAAAACCAGAAATGTCATTGAAATTAGCCAAAGGCAAACTTCTTACCTTAGTATGATCAAGTCGAGGCATGGAGAGTGCAGCTCTCCACTCCAAGGAAGGTACAGACAGCGAAAGAATACCACGAGGAATGGGAAAGAAGCTAAGAAAAATCCTTCACCAAGAAAACCATTCCATCTCAGTTCTGCAGCATCCCTGTCATCTTTAATGGTGATGGTGTCCCTCTCAACATCCTCATCTTCTTTAATATCTTTTCATTTATAATAGGGCATCAATGAAGTATCTGAACTTTTCATTTCTGTTGACAGATCTCTATTTCACAGTTACTTGTCTGTGGCATGTTCTGTCAGTTCCAATAGTGTGTGGAAAGCCAAAGTTGCTCACCCCATTCTAGTCATGCTCTGCATTACTCTATACCTCCTCACAGTCAAGTCAACGTCCTAGATGGATGACAGACAGGAAGTTTATATACCTTGGAGAAAAACTATCTTCCTGCTTCAATTTAAGCATAAAGTTGACCCCTATGTGTATGAAGTGCAATAATATTAGTCTTCTACTCAATTCTCGCTTGCCTTGGGGCAATTCTGTTTAATCACTGCTGTCCATCATCTGTGACTTATGTTATCAGTAATTACAGGGTTATGCAATTCAACTTTCCCCAGTTTAATTGTATGTTATTTTAGACTATTTCCCATGTGACCACCCTTTTTAATTTCTTAAAATTGGGGTATAGTTTTATTACCACAGATTAAGCTTTTTTATAATGATAGACTCTGGTCTGAGAAATGCTACAATTATATCCCTACAATTAGATCTTATATAATGGTTTCTGTTCAGTCCATATAAACCTTTGTCTTTTAATAAGATCAGACTTCAATGTATAGTGTAGGATTACATAAATTTCTATTATTTCCATTATGAAATTTAAAACAATCAATTAGTCTTCATATTTTAAAGAATCTCAAAGGTACCTCAGCTTATGCAATGTGTACACAAGATTTTCATTGAAGTATAAGTGATAAAACTTTATTATGCAGCTTCTAAATTGACCTAGCACCCTAAAATCCCAATTCTGTTCTACATTTGGTACTTATCAGGCATGCATACCTTATAAACATGCCATATACTTTACCTGTTATACTCATTATATGTGTTTTCATCTGCCATGCATGAATACAGATTTGCTAGGACACTTGAGAGAATTGTACTCACGGATATATTCTTAGCTTCTGTAAGAGTTGATGCACAATAAATATTTGCAGAATGTATGAAAGAATGAAATTCTAGAGAGAATGTTTCAACATGAAAAGAGCTGGTCCCTGGTGTGCTTACAGTTTATCAGAACCACTCTAGCACTTTCTGTTTTCTCGAGACCCTCTCTCTGAAGCACATTTCTGAGAGATAACCAAATGGATTGTTGAAAATTGGTGTGATCTTTAGAACAAATAAGAGCTACACTTGCTACAAAATGCCCATATGATTCTGATCAATTATCCAGGTTCCAATCTGCCCATTAAGTGGGAGAAAAAATAACAGCCACACAGCCATCCTGCTCAATTAGATCAATAGTAACCCTATAATAAAAAGTTCTTTCATTGTTACAGTTTCCTGTTCAAAACGGTTTAGTTGTATAATAGCTTAATTCTTGGTTCCTATTGCTAAATCATGATGTCTTGAATTTTCTAAGCATTGTTTACAAATTTAATTGGGAGTTTGAGATACTGGACTCTCTTCATTTTTATTCACATTTCCTGTGAAAATAAGGAATAATTATTCCAACTGTTTTCTTTGAAAGACATGTTTTATATGTGGAATGATAAAGTACAAAAAATGCCAGATACCCCAGTCTTTAAGTCTCCAAGTCACATCATTCCTTCTAGACAATTTACCATCAAGAAATTTTACTTGCTATTTTGAATAGGCAGTTTAGTCCATAATGCAGTATCAGTAAGTAGTCTAAGGTTGAAATTAATTATACATGTAATGACAAATAATCTGTTAGTACCAAGTAAAGGGAAAAGTTCAATGGGATTTTTTTCATGAATCTCGGCACTTAGTGTGTGGAACTCTCCTGTGGCCTGAACATAAAATACAACCATTGAAAACATCAAAGAGTTGCAGCACAGACAGACCAGGGGGGAACTCAAATAGGACATTATGTTAGATTACCTGCAACTAAATATCTTCCTAAAGGGTAAGATAACAGATAATTTAGGGTTTGTGATTCATAGTCATTGTTACAACTTCTACAGTTGTAGAATGAAATGGGCTGTGATGGAAATATGGCAATGAGCACAGTTGTGTTCCAGGAATACTTTATTTGTTAAGAATGAAAGAAAGAAAGAAACAAAGAAAGAAACAAAGAGAAAGAGGGAGGGAGGAAGGGAGGAAGGACGGAAGGGAGAGAGGGAGGGAGGGAGGAAGGAAGGAAGGAAGGAAGGAAGGAAGAGGGAAGGAAGAGGGAAGGAAGGAGGGAGGGAGAAAAGAGGTGTTAGATGCCCTGTTATTTGAATGTTGATCTAACTTTGAACTGTACAAGATGTGGTTCAGGGACCACTGAGAAACAGTTGTAAATAAAGAAATGTCCTTCCCTGCAAAAGGTAGAGTCAGAATCTCTATCTCACCAGGATCATAGGTGGCCTCTGCTACACAGTCAGCCTGAGGAGCATCAACCTGAATCAAGCCTGTCTCCGAGTCCTGAAGACAGGGAGGAATTAAGAGCTGTCAGAGAAAGTGCCCTCCAGAACTTTAGGTGGATGCTCTGTTACAGGCAGCACAGTCCACACCTCCATATGTCCATACACTGATAATCACCCATGGAAAGTTTTGATGTTTATGATAGCCGGTCTTGTTAAAGACAAGCTCTTTGACCCATTCTGGAAGATAACCAAGTTTTATGGCCCAATACACCTTTAGCATTTTACTATGGCATTTTTTATATATAAAGAAGTGAACTCTTAAAAATTATAAAAATAACCTAAGTCTGTATATCCGTCAAAACTCACAATATATCTGTCAAAGCACTGGAAGGGGAAAGTGTTTTCAGCTCTGGTGGAGAAGAGAGCACTCCAAGTTATACGCTGCTGTTTGTAAA